GGGGGGGGAAGAGAGGTGGAGAATAGAACACGGAGAGATTTGGGAAATCACTGAATTGGCTGGAAAGCCCCAAACCTCAGGAAACCGTGACCACCACACACATGCACACATTCCTCACCTCAGGATAGGAAACAACAGCACAACGGCATCCATGTAAGAACACAGGGCCCGGGCTGGGTGCGGTGCGAGCTGTTTCTACTGAGAACAGATGTTCCTGTTGAAGGGTCAAGGAGATCAAACCAACCCGAGCATGTTGAAAAATCCAGATAGCTCAACATCGGAGGCAAATCATCGCCACAGCGAGGCCGGGTCCGAGTGGAGGCCACTTCTCCTGGTTTGAATTATACCTCATCCCCGGTCAATGTGGATGTAATGACTTTTATGACACTTGCGAGAGCACATTCTGGTGTTACTCGAAAAATAAAACGGTCGATCATAAATCGCTTGCATTCAGCTGAGAGGTTTAAGAGCGGGGCACAGCAAATAAAAACCCATGAAACGATCCTCTGGTGTGTGTTTAAAGAAACGCTCCGTGGATTCCGGTAAATTTAAAACCTCATTTTCTAATGAGAGAAAAAGTCTGAAGGACCAGATGTTACAACATCTGTCGAAAGGTTCCACTGACACGTCGTGCACATGTTGTTCTCAGGAAGGAGTTATCCCTCAGAGAGCAGGAGGACGGAGCTGTCGCCAGGTGAATTATTCATGTTCACGTTGCAAAACACAAACACAGGACATCGCTTTGACTTAATCTAACTTCCTGGAGACTTACCCCAACCTGAACACCCCCCAACCCCCTCAAACACCTTAAGTCACCTTATCCCCACAAGGTGAATGAAAAACATCCAGAGGTTCAGAGGGCCGGAGAGAATCCAGTGGCTGTAGTTTAATCAGAAATGTTCCCAAGTTAAAAGGTGCACAGACAGGTGAGGTGGGAAGGGAAGAGTGGTGAACAGGTTTGTGGTGGTAAAAGAGGGAGTACACACACACACACACACACACACACGTGCAGGGTCATTGTTCCTCACCACAGAAAGTCATAAACGACAACAAAGATACGAGCACAATTATTTATGGAGATTCTTCTCTGGAATGTTCTTCACTCGAACGTCTCATGATATCAACCACATCTCACACACACATTGATTCTGTGCACGCCGAAGAAAAATAAATACCCTCCTGCAAACACGTGTGCAGGTGCTGAGGTCATCAGCATCCACGAGTTCCTGTTCCTGCCAACTCTTTGAGGAGAAGGTCCCCTACTGGCGAGGACCAGAACTGCAAAGGCACTGACTCCAAATTGTTTGAGGCTCATGGTTAAAATGAAAAGAAAAAAAGAACGACAGTAACATTTCACAACATTGTAAAATAAATGGAATTCGTGATCAGAGACTAAAGCTCTCGTGAAACTTCGGACACAACGATTGGAACATTGATTTTTAAAAGGTTCAATGATTCATAAAATCAATTCATCAGCTCTCTGCGTTAAAACAACACTTTGCAACGTCTCACGTCAAAGCAGCAGTTTGATCAGTGACACAAAATCAAATCGCACATCGACGACACAACAACAACCTAAAAACAAAACAGGTGCAAACTTGGTCCAGCACTGAAATGTAATAAAGCCTGTGCAGCGCTCCCTACAGGCAGTGATTAGCATTGCACCAGATTAATACTGATGCTCTGAATTATTCAGGTCAAAGTGATGATGCAGATGATTTTCTGATGCTGCAAACCTGCAACTATCACTAATGTGCAGCTATGATCGTGTGGATTCACTGTTTCATTGACTTGGATTTAAAGTGAGATGGAGTTTAGGGGAGTGTTGGTATTGTTAGAAGATACTGAGCGACAATCTAGTTTGAATTAATCTATTTGAGCCTTTTACTTTTCACAGATGATAATTTTTTCTTCTGTTGTTTTCATGGTTCAAATGTGTTTTTTCTTTAAATATAATAATCACTTAAACTTCCACTTTAAATATCTCTCGTCTACCTTTAGTGCAGAAAAGCTTCATCAATCAGAAATAGTAAATATTCGTCTGAGGTTAAATACGACTGAATTCAATCAATGACCAAACTAATAACAGTCAAAATACAGTACAGTACATATCGCTTTACCAGGAATGAGGAAATTATATTCTTGATAATCTGACACTGACAATAAAGGCAAAAATATTTCTCTAAATTATAGTGAAATATTTTGAGAATAAACCAGAAGTATTGTGTTTTGTTAACTGAATATTTCTTAGAAAGGTTCTAATATTTAGATAAGTAAGACGTAATATTCCATTGGTAAAGTTTCCAGAGAAGAATTGGAATATAAAAATAAGTATAAAGTTGTGATATTTTAATGATCTGACTGTGGTTGTTATATTTCGTATAATGACATTTTACTGAAATGATTTAGGACTTTATTCCTGACGTACTGAGCTTCTTCTCAAACAACTTTAAATGCTTTAATTCCTGAATTTACAACTTTTTCTCAACACTGACTTTAAAATTAAATTAAAATGTTCTCTAAATATTTTGCCTTTATTCTGAACAGTCCCTCAGCAGTGGCCACTTTCACTGATGTCTGGACATTTCCCTGAGATTTTCCAGAGGGGCTGCACGAGAGAACAGAGTCTGAGTCAATTGCTCTGGAACTTTCCTGGAACCTCTCCTGCCCCCTGGTGTAATATTAAGAAAATATCCAGAAAATGAACAGTGAGCGGAGTAAGTGTGTTGATGACGTTTCTAACATGTGAAACTGGAAGCAAACAAATATCTCAGGAGATTCCAGATGTTTTGGTGATAAGGGCCGACGCCGGTGTGGACCAGCTGTAAACAACAACACTGATCTTTCCACAGCACAATTTACACGTCACGTCCTGCCTCCTGCTGTGTCGGACAATCTGCTGCTGCTCCACATGTAAAAGACAAATGTTGGAAAATGTCTGCACCATATTTTTATAATTCAATTTCAGTTCATGTCTGAAAGCAGCTTTAGTTTAAAGGCATTTGTCCACAACATGGAGAGGCCGTTACACTCCGTCACTCAGACATTTCATAATACTTGGGTCATGCACATGTCGGGTAAAGATGTCGCTAATGTCACATTTCCAGCAGTGAAAATGAATCCAGACCAACACGCGTCAGTGCAATCGGCTTGAAGCACTTTTGCTTTTTTGGAAATACTCGACAAACTAAAAATAAAACAAGAGAGATGCTGCTCATCATTGTCTTGTCAACATTTGAGAAAGTGTTTCCAAAGCAGCAGCAGCTCTTTGTCTTGGAGACAACTTGCAGTTATTTGATTATAATTCAAGTCTGAGTTCTATCTGCAGCTTCATGTGCATGAATGTGTCCCTATCAGTTCGTGTTCAGTTCATTCCAACAGAAATAACAACGTTGTGTTGAAATCATATATTGCTTCTTCTGGAATCTACCAGCTGTGTGATGTACTTCATTGACTGTCAGTCAGGTCACTACCACAGCCAGCTGTCTAGATGCTGAACACAGTAACAGGACTGTTCCAGGATTGCGGACATCTCCCCGTAGCTCTCCTCTCTCCACGTGGGAAGCAGCCTCTCATTGTTTAGGGCCTGAAGCTTTGGCGTCCCCTCCCGGAGGACGTGGTAAAGACAAGGCCACCGGTGCTGAATCCTCAGCCTGGTCCTCCGGTCCAGCGTGATACCACGGACGATCTTCTTGGCACGAAGCTCGCGCAGGACGGGCAGCTTCAGGCAAGAGAAGACTAAGCCTCGGCTGGGCGACACGTCCAGGAACTCCAGGGACTGAGATTCCAGAGTGTACGAGATGCCCAGATTCCTCAGCGGCACCAGGATGTGTAACGTCAGAGACTTTAGGTTGGGCAGGGACTTGGTTACGGTCTGCAGCGTCGAGGGGGTCACTCCTTTGAATACCCAGAAGTATTTGAGCTCAAGGACTCGCAGCTGCTGGAACTGGGTGAGCAGCGACACGGACACGTCCGACCAGTCGAAGTGGAGCCGCATCTTGGAGATGCGTGGGCAGCTCTGAGTGAGCTCGGTGAGCAACTCCTGGAAACTGGCCACCTGTCAAATCCAACCACAGAGAAGAACAACGTGCTGAAAGATTAATTTGTTCGATAGATTTTTTTAATGGTTTATTTCTGTATTAAAGACGTCGGGAGATGTTAAATGACTTTTTTTCTCTCATCATGAATTTATTTCCTCAGTGACAGCAGCCGTCAGAGACCCCTCCCGGCTAAACTCGACCAAACAAACACTTTATTAACTCTGAAAATTCACGATGGACAGATTCTAAGATTGAGTCTGGGTTCACAGTGAAATCATCGTCACATTACCTGATCCATTTTGGTGATGCTGTCCTGGTGTGAACTGGAGCTGGAGTGAACCCTGAGGTCGAGCGGCTCGAGCAGAGTGAAGGTCCAGTTCAGATCCAGGTGGCTGAGGTCTCTGCAGTGAACATTGTTCAGCAAGTGGCTCAGCAGCTCCTTCCACTTGTTGCAGCGATCCCCCAGGTCGAAGCTGGCCTTCAGCGTGAGCAGACTTGCCCGACGGGAGATGAGGTGGTGGGTGTAATGGTGGACCCAAGCTTTCCACCTCTCAAACTCACGGTTGGAAACCAGCAGCCCCTCCTGGCCGAGGTGGAAGACACCGCGACGGGAATAGTCCGCTACCCTCCACAGCTTCCACGAGCGGACGAGGCAGCTCCAGCTCAGGCAAACCAGAGCGCAGCTGCACTTATCCACCTCGTTCAGGAAGGACAGGACATGCAGCTGGCACTCCACCGGCAGGAAGTTGAAGGGGAAGTAGTCATCCACCGCTTTCCGCCGGCTGCTCACGGGGACCAGGGGTCTCTTTCGTGGTGACATGGTGGCAGATGAGGAGATGATGATGCTGGTCATTGGTGGAGGTCAGAATCTCCACCGGGTGGTCTTGTGGTCTGGCTTTGCCATAAATATCTTGGGTCTGGTGAAGACTTAAGAAAATAAACAAAGTCTTATTTCCCTTATTCCAAGTTGTTCAAAGCAGGAACACAGGAAGACCCTGTGGTGGATTAAGCTAAAACAGGTAATGAGTGGATTTCAAAAGAAAATTCATGTTCCTGAATAAAATCAAGATAGTTTCTTACATAAATGTCTTATGAAGGGACTCAGACTTGAGGACAGCCCAACCAAAACCTTCTGAATGTAACCTACTCATGCCGAACCATAATTAACCTTCCCACAATTCACACCTGATCCCCGACATTAACCATAGTTACTTATCGCTTAACCGTGACTCTAACCTGGATCCAACTTTAAGACTATAGCCTAAGAATCGAATGATTTACGTTCAAATAAGATAATCCTGTATTAGTCCCACAATGGGGACATTAGCACTGTGAGGACAAGAAACTGTGGGTGTGATCGATGAGTCTGGTGTAAAGTTCGTGCTTCAGTGACTCTCCTGTTGACGTCAGTCCTTCAGGTGATGTCCACGTGGTCAGTGATCGAAGTATTAACTGACACGTCGGTTTGTAACATGACTCGAGTTTCTCCAGCTGCTGTTACTCACCTGTCAGTCAAATTAACGAGCCTCCGGTCACACGTGTGTGAACTCTTTAACCTGAGGCTGGAGATTAAATTGTGTTTTTACACTTTAATCGACACTGAAGTCTCGTCGTTACCTTTTCCTGTCAACTGGCTTCCTCCTTGTCCCCGGTTAAAAAGCTAAGCTGCTAGGAGCTAGCAGACAAAGGAATTCAAATTAAAGCTAATCACTGCGCATTATTCCACGTTTTTCGTAGATTTTACTTCGTAAATCGACGCGTTAAAAACTGTTGAACAGCTTAAACAAAGTTAAAACTTAAAACCCTCGAGGACACGCGGTCAGTAGCTGTCCCGGTTAGTTAGCATCCGAACAGCTGAGCTGTGTTGTTGTTTTTGTTGTGGCTCAGCCGTGATGACGTCATCAAAATGCGTTGGGCTGCCTGCTTCGTTCACCAGAGTTGCGCCGCCGGGCGGGGGTTACAGCTGGGACACCGCAGTTTGCGTGAGAAGAAGAATTATAACGCGATATTATAAATAAATACTTTATTGTAAATATTGGTGTTTTATTTTTTTTTCTGAAACAACAAGTGAGAACAACAAAACCATAGAAAACACATTTGTCATGTTTATTATTATTAAAGATTCAAGAAGATTTGTTGTCATTTTCAAAACATGAGGGGACGAAACTGAGGAAATAGAAACAGTAGAATCTGAAGACTATTCAGCAAATACATGAAATAAAAACAATGGAATCTCAAAGTAAACAAGGGTTAAAAACAATGCAAATTAAAAAGGTGCAAGTGAGTATTGATAACTATGAGTATGGATATTCAAGTACTACGGAACATGAAAGAGTCTCTGGTGAGCACGTGAAACACACGTTCATATTTCCCACAATGTTCAATCACTGTGTTTTTGCACGACTGATTTTCTTCTTGGTAACACGAGTCTTCCTCCCGCTCTGTCTCTGATGGCTTCCCCAGTAGATGGCCCTCTGCACACACAGATGCCGTGTGGCCTCCGGTGATGCAGGGTGACCTCCTGGAAGTGGTGACCTCCTCTGGCTTCCTCTCTATCAAACCGCTGATACAGGCTGTTTCCTGCACATGTGGGCTCGGCCTGAGGGAACCAATAACAGCGTCCAGCACCAACTGACCACAGTCACATAAACAAGCAGACAGCAGCAGGGCTGTCCAGGCTGCTGGTCGCTGTCATGTTGTTGTGTGTGATCACAGAGTGAAGATTACACGTCCAACAGCTTCCTGGAGCCGTGTTCAGTTTCATCTGAGAACTGGTTTGACAATAGAAGACATGTGACCCTCTCAGTTTGATGGTAAATCTGAGGTCATGATGTGGGTGGGGGGGGTTATGTGACACATAGCATAAGTCATGTCCTCCTCGTGCTTCTGTGATACATTTCTACATTGTGCGTTTCTTTGTAAAGTCAGAGAAAAGCAGGAAGCGACACGTCAGAGGGGCCCTTTCTGTGAGAGAGGGTCCGAACACAAACACACTGGAGCCTCACAGGATTACTGCATGTTTCTATAATACTGTACACAGCAGCTGTTGTGATGCCAGATTATAAACAGGCTCTTTAAAACAATCAGTCGTGTTGTCGTAGCTACGCTCAGAGGGGGATTTCAAATACATAGACAAAGTTTTCAGAGTGTATGTCATGTATATGTCAGACATAGTCATGTAGTTATATGTATATATAGGTATAGTATGTATAAACATTATGATGCCTTCATGAACTGACGGATGTATCTCTTACATATACATCACACACCGTCCCTGAAGGCAGCATCACGTGACGATGTGTAACTACCATAGACTGTATATAAAGATTTATATATTTAAAAGATTTTATTTTAAGGTAACTACTGAACAAATCAATTGAGTTAAATAAATTATAACTGTTTTATAATGAGGGCGCCATCTTGATTGTTTTGAGGTGGGGGGGATACGTCCGATTCAGCCAATCAGAGCAGAGAAGGGTCGCGGGCGCGTCCTGTGACCCCGCCCCCCTCCGTATATAAAGGGACCGGACGCTGCGTGTGAATCATTCGTCGTCACATCGAAGCTTCAGCATCTGAATTAAAATCAAAGAGACTCTTCATCCATCTCCCTCTGAAACCCCCGTGACGAAGCAGAGGCTCCATGTTAGTTTTCTCGAAGAAGGACAACATGAAAACCAAATTCATCAACGGAGTCTCCTCGTCCCCCTCCATGTCTCTGGAGCTGCTGGTGACGGAGAACGCTCTGCAGGTCCAGCCCGACGCCGAGGAGGACAGCAAGGACCCGGGCTGCATGGACCTGCCCGACCCGGACACCCGGCACCGGGCCTACCTGTGGAGCCGGGAGTTCCTGCACGGAGCCTGGAAGATTGTGGCCGAGGACGACTTCCAAATGACCGTCATAAGGTACAGGGCGTCCGCCTGGTTCTTTGTGGAGGAGAGACCCAGGTGGTGGAGGATGCACTTACACTTCCTCTGTTTCAAATATAGAGAATACATATAGAACATTTTATATAGAGGTACACCCCCCTGCCCCTGTTTTAAATAAATAAAATATAACATTTTATATAGAGATTTTATACATTTAAAACGTATAAATAGAAATGGTATGTAGTGTTACACCCCCTGTTACAATTGAGTAAATATGTGGTCAAGGACTCTAACAACATGACGTGGGTGTTTCAGTGGAATATTACAGCAGCTCTTAATTCTTGTCTCTAAATTGACCCCAGGTTAGTTATTAATTCTTAATCTTTAGCCCCTCCCCCAAGGCCAACACCTAAAAACAAGAAGTTCCAGTCTTGAAGCTTCAATGAGGTATTTTTGGACATGAACACCCTTTAAAAGATTAGAGTTTGGTTTTATCAGCCTCAGCTGCTATTTTAGTTGTTGTCATAAAAAAAAAAAACAAATCAGTTGAATGTCTTTGCAGCATGAGCTGAGCTCGATAAGATTCGACGAAATATAATAAAGACACAGTAAACTCCAGAGAAACCTCTGTGAAGCCACGAATCCAGCATGTTACTAATGGAAATCCCTGAACGTTGTAATTGATCATATTCTCTGAATGTGTGTCTTTCAGGGGTGGTCTGAGCAACAAGCTCTTCCTGTGCAGCCTCCCCGACAGCCTGGACACTGTCGGGGACGAGCCGCGGAGCATCCTGCTGCGCCTCTATGGGGCCATCTTGCAGGTGGGAGACACATCTAGTTGTTTTTACCGTAGAAAAAATACAAGTAAAAGTAAGATCCAAACCCCTCACGAGGACAAGTTGTATGTGAGAACTAGGTTTCTCTCAGTGTTGTGTAGTCACTGTCCTGTAATCACTGACGTTAACCTGCTTTCAACATAGATAATGAGCTGCTACACGGCGGATAACAACAGACATGTCATAATCATGTCAGAGTGACCTGTCAGAGGGGTCAAAGGTCTGCTTTAGTTGACAAACACAGGAAACAGATAATAAACATAAAAACATGATTCATACATTAGACTGTGACGTGACTGTGCCACCAGGCTGTTGTTGCTGTTGTGTGTGTGTGTGTGTGTGTGTGTCTGTAGCAACTGTGCATATGCTTATGTTAGTGTATGCATGTGCAGTTATGACCTGGTGTGTGTGCGTGAGTGCGAGTGCGTGTTAGCCATTGTTGTACATGGTGATGTACCCCCATGGCTGTACATGCATGTGTTCTTTGCCGTAGGCTTCCCAAAGGAACATGCCTTGGGCACGCTTGTTCCCAGGTGAACCCACCAAAAACCACGGTACAGTATGAGATCTCTGAAATCTCAGCCTAATACAAAGACACACACTTCTGTAGAAACAAACCTGGCCTCCAACTATGGCCAGATACGCTAAGGAGGGGGAAACTAAGTGTTGGAACATCTCTCCTGTCTGTCTCTTTCCGTCTCTGAATCCTTTAAGCCTTTTGTTTCCCGGTCCTCGTCTTTATCACCTAAGATGACGTGGCTGCTGTGTCCAGAGTTCATGATCCCAGAATTCCCCTGGGGCTGACACATGCTGCCTTTTTGCTAATTGTGACAGAACCGCTCTAAAGATAACTGTTTAGTCACCATCACACCCCTCAGCTGATCTCATCTGCTTATATTGAGTGACAAGAGGCCAAGGACTTAAAAACATTTGCACAAGATTTCTGAAAACAGCATATTCTTATCTGCTGCTGTCGCTTCTTTGTTGTTTCTAGCACATCTTGTTTGTTCCAGTCTGCAGCGATAAGTCAAAGACTGGGGCCCAAACAAAGACGCTCCCAGCCTCACATTTTTCATTTTCATGTGTGCTTTAACCTCCGGCTGATGAGACCTTCATTAAGTATTAACTAAAGTCGGCGTAATCGCACACAGGCCTAGGAGCCGTTAGCTTTTATTGCTCGGGATGTCGCACAGAGCGAAAGCACCAAGGCAACTGTCGCCAACTCCGTCACGTCTGAGCCGCCTCTCGAATTAGTGATGTCTGATCAAAAACCTAATACGATCAAGGAGCTAATGGCTAAACAAACCCTGCACCGGAGACTGTTTCTGAGTGATGGAGGTATGTGGATCGGAGGTTGGAAAATTAGTGATTCATCAAGTTAAAGGAGACGTGTGATGTTTTCTCAGCATTTCTTTCCGGCAGATTTTTAGTGAATATAAAAGTTCAACAAAATTTAAATGTGTGTTGTGAAGGAAGCTCCTCATCTGAAGCTCCTGAAACACCTCCTCCGACTCGTTGTGACATCACAGTGCCCCACATTTGCATGATGCAAAGCTAGCTGCTAATGTGCTAACATCTCTTAACGAAGCCGGGAAAAAAAAAAAAAGAAACGAGAACCGACATTTAATTCATGCGCCGGAAGCAGTCGGCCTCAAAGAGACAGGAGCTGAAATCAAGTGTTTGAGCCCCGAGGAGCGGCAGCGATGGACAGTTTGAGGAAAGTGATGTGTTTTCTGAACATTAGAGCCAAAAAAACTGTATTGATTTATTGCTGGGTGCTGAATTAACAAAATATCATAAAACATTTGAATAAAAGAGGAGATCCACACACGAAGCTCCCTTTAAAGAATTTACTCCTCATAGCGACGCCTCAGACACAAAGGCCGACGCTGTATCCGAACATTTTCTCCCAGAATTAATTGAATCTGTGGGGGCAGCAGGGGTGAACGTGAACGAACGTCACTCTCGAACGCAGTATAGAAAATGGCCGACCGACAGAATCTAGATACTTTGCATTAGAGCACGTAAACCTCTCTTCAAGTAAAATGGTTAAGAAACTGAATTCGAGAAAATAAATCTGCTCCTATGAGATAACCTCCCTTCTGTCTGTCTGACGTCTGTCTCTGCTTCTCTTTCTGGCTGTTGCGTTTAACAGGTAGTCGGGGGAGGGGAGGGGGGGGGGCACAGTGATTAGTCTGCACTGTCATCTCTGAAAGCCTCGGTGTGTCTCTGAACTCATACTGTACTGTCTGCTCTGCAGGCGTGGCTGGAGGTTTGATGTTGGCGCTCACGGGCGGCTTCACATTTTTTCATGCATGCTCATTTCATTTTTTTTCTTTTGTTAATAGATGTCCTGTAATAAAGGGGACTCCCGACAGTCAAACAAAGAAAATCAGTTCCAGGTAAGTAACAGTCCAGTGTCTCTGCACAGCGTCCATCCAGTGGCCACAACATTCACCATCTCACGTGTCGGCACCAGCGATTACGTTGTTGTGCTTCTCAGAATTCTTCTCTCAAATCTTGTTGGGACGGGGTTTCACCCGGTCTCCTCTGATCTCTGCAGGCAGCTGTTGTTTTTAATCCCAGAGAAGCTGAACCTCTGCAACCAGCTGGGCTTTTTGATTTAACTCCCTTTCTCCCATTTTCTAACCCCTGACACGAGAATCATTTTACAGATACAATGATCCACTTTATTTTATAAAGTTATCAAAGTTACAAAGTTTTTAACAGAAAGAAACCAGAAAGGTATTTGGAGAGCACATGCCCCCCGCCGAGGCTAACGCCCCTATCTCACCGTGTTAAAGAAATTCATATTCATGTATTGAGATGAAGTCCGTAAACCAGGTTTAACACAGAACATGTTTTATTCAGTTCAAGATGTCCAACAACTAACTTGAAATTCAAAAGGTGAAAATGAACATGAAACAAATGAAGAATTTGATTAAGCGACAATTTGTTGATGTATATTCAGCTAATAAAGATCGCCACTTTAAAAATACTTATTCTGATTAACAATGTTCGGACCATAATCCAGATCTGCACCAAATGTCACCTGTTCGTTGAGATCACGGCTCTAAAGACGCCAGATTAATTCACAGAATTGTTGAAACGCCCTAAGTGTTTAAAGGGCTGAAACAGAAAAGAACAGAGAAGAACACGTAGTCGTTGTGCAGAGCTCTGTACGCAGATCTTAGTGAACACCGGAGAGACAGAGGTCTTTGGTTAATTGATTGATTCGTTTGGAGTGAGGCCGTTTATTGTTTAAAGAGCAGCAGTGTTGTGTACCAGTCGGAGCTGGTGAGTGCTTGTGTGACCTCATCTGAACCAGTCAGAGACATGAACCTTTCGATTTTCGAGATTTTTCTTATCGGTGTTTTTTTTTTTTAGAGTCATGACTGAGTATGTCGTCCTCAGTCGTGGATTATGTTCAGTGCGTTCAGCTCAAACAAACCTGATTAAAAGAACTCTTATTGGCCTGACGCTCTGCCAGGTTTCACAGACTCACCGACCTGGAACGTTCCCTGCGTCGTGTCGTGGGGACACTGACGGAGCATTGTCCCTTCTTTAGGTGTCATCAGGTCTGTGTGTACGATGAGGTCAGGCTTCAACACACAAGCCTCAGTCAAATGTAATTTCCTGTGAACAAGAGCTCACTGTCCTCCTGCAGGATTCGCCGCGATGTCACCGATAAAGTCGATATCCACAACAAGCAGCGTCTCTGTGACTCACGGCCACTCAGTCGTCTCTCACTGGGACAGTAAGTCTGGGCCGTGAGTCTAGATTTTTCCATCACAGCCCCAACCCTTGACCCTCACGCTAGCGGCCGGGATCACAGCCTGGTGTTGATGTTAGCGGTCAGGCTAATGCAGAGCTGACCCCCTGTGGGCGTCTCGGCGTAGCCTCGTCCAGATCCACCTTCTCTAACAATGCTGTCTGGTCAAGGTAAATCCCATTTGGATTAGAAGGGATGACGCTGTATTAATCCCTGTGGGGATGTTTCACATGTCACAGCAACGCAGCAGAGAACAAAGCAGATTTACAAATGACGGTAAACACCAGAGATTAAAGTTTCCCTTATTTTTATTTATGGAAGATTTCTGACTAGATATGTGTTTAAAAAAACATTTCCTCAGTCACAACCTGATGGACACAAATTTAAATGTATTTATCCAGTTGATCTATTTATTAGTGCTTCTGTATTTCTATAAATATCATGCAACTGCAGGAAACTGATGCAAAGACTGAGAGCAGGAAGCTGCTGCAGAAATAAGACGATAACGATGCTCTTTCCTCTGAAAGTGTGGGACAGTGAAAAAACCTTCCTGACTCCGCACCGCTGTAGATATTCAGTTCTGTAGTTTTTGCATAACTAATAGATGAGTAAACAAACTTCGATGAAAACATAGCATCCTTTTAATATTTTTGAATTTGATTTGTTATTGATTATTATCTTTACAACTAGTGTAAGAACTGAATTATATATATATCATCGATGTAAATGTTCTGTAAATGACTTGTTGATCTAACCAGGAGAGCTAGAGCGTTACATTTGTCAAGTCAAAGTTTCCGCTTTGTCACGATCCTTAAATTTAATAAACAGGGTTTGTATAAAAGTAGTTTCTCTATGTTTTGCCTCAAACATTCAGTGACCGTTAATACTTTTGATTCAACATTTATGTGATGACCTGTATTAAATGACTTCTATTAAACGAATGAACCTCCTCCCTGTGTACAATAAGTAAAAAACACTGGGTGGTTGTTACATAACGGTTCATGTATTACTTCACGTCCTTATCGCTGCACTTTGACACGAGTTCACTGTCGCACACAGACGACTGGAACAAAAGTGTGACTGACACTGATTCCGTTCACTTCATATGGATTTGACCGGTCTGTACTTAATCTGCACTTAAGTATTGAGGGTTAAAGCGTCAGCTGCCGGCAGCTCACACTGCACCTGTTGCATCACAGCCAAGGCCACGTCGCTGAATATCTCTGTGCTGCAGCGCTGATACTGGACCAGTGTGAACGTCGAGACTGAAACAAGTAACTAGAAAAAGATCCCAGAGATCAGACTGAGTGCGACATGACAGAGGAACCTCTTAGTCATTCAGAAAGGATGTTCAGATGTACGACAGGAAGCTTCGAGGTCCTGACCGTTCAACAGGAAGCTGTCGGAGGGATGTTGAAATTCTTTTTGTGTCTGAACCAGAGATTTGAGAAACTCGACTAGAAGATGGAGCCCCCACACATCTGCTTCCCTGGTGCAAGAGCTAACAAACGTTCTCCTAGGTTTCATTTTGTGTTTCCCCTGAGACGTCAAGCAAATAAAAATTGTTTTAATAAAAAAAAAAAAAAACCCTCATTGGATTAATGATAATAAAAAGCATTAACAGATCTTATTTACAGTTGTAGATGTCCTGCTGACACTTTGACATTCTGAGCAGCAATAAGGCCGGGTGGTGGTGCCACGTCTACATCGGACTCACTTCCTATTTTCTCTAAACTAATCAAGTTGACGTAACGTGCTCTCACCCTGCAGCACGTCTGCAACCGTAGCCCTTCGTCCACCCGTGGTCTGAACGGTGAGCTTGCTTGACATCTACGACTTGCTGAAAATTAACTTTTGAACAAATGGAGGTCTTGTGTGGGAGAGCGGGGGCAGAGTCAAACAGGCCGCTAGAACACACACACACTGGCTTTTAAAATAGGTCAGAGGAAAATAAACCGGAGAGGTTGGTGCAGGACTGCACGCAGCGCCGCCAGACAGTCGATGGGACGAGCAGGGTCACGCTGTGGGACGTCTTCTAAACAACGCGTCGGGGGAGGATCGTCAGGGTCGGATGCCGGTTGGTTGTTTCCTCGTTCTCAACCCAATCAGATCAAACGACACTCCACCCTTCTCGATGAAGCACATCATGTGGGAACTTTTCATTCGATACGTTTTAGAGGTTCCTCTGACCTTCGGTTTCAGACCGACACTACTACTTCCTGTCCCTGTGTCAACAGAATGCAACTATTAGTTTGCCCTATTTGTCCTTATCGGCGCGGCTGGATTTAAAATCTGACACGAGGGCAAAGTCAACATTGTTATCTGGCCTAGATTTAAACTGAAATGTTTGTAGGGATACAAAGACTGAGCCGTGTACCTGCACGTAGAATCCAGAGAATTGGCTACAGACTTTATCGTCGTTTGCCTCTAACACATGCACACGCATCAAATCCGGCTCTTATCACCACAAACTCTCTCGACTTCTTGTTTGTGAATGTCTGAAATTAGCTGAATTCCTCGCTACGTATTTTACATTCGGTGCGTAGCAACTAGAGCAGCTCTCGTTCATATGCAGGCTGTGTGCTGCAGATTCAGATCAGTGCGACAATGATAAACAAGATGGTGCCGTCACCGACTCACTGAACAGGAGCAGTGCGTCCTGTAAGCCCCACAGAGTCTGCGCTGTGCCTCAGGCCGCCAGCTGGTCCGTTGTCTGCCCGTATGCGTGTCAAGATGATTATGGTAATGTGGATAATTCATGGAGATTTCAAAGTCGGTGCCGTCAGCATTCCGCGGATAACGACATAACTCGGTGTTCGCTGAGCAAACAACCTGGGAACTACAGTTTTTTTTTTTATTATTTGTTCTCAAAATCTAATAATTTTCTTTCTCCAACTCGGACCCATCCCCCGTCGTCCTCAGGTGCCCTTCACTCAAACCTAAACATTTAAACACTTGACTCTAAAACATTTACTTTTCAGGAGATAGAAGCGTGAAATAAAAACCATGTGAAAACTCAACTCTTTGGCTTTTATCGAGAAGTTTTGCTTTTGCCTCGGAAACTGGATATGACGAGAAATAAGAAGGAAAATACTTTCTCCATCTGTGTTTTGCATTCTCGACGTGAATTTCATTGCTCAAGGACGAAACCAGATAAAGGCTCGAGGGAAACAAACGCAGGTGTCACACCCGTTCTGTTGCATCTGGTTTCTAAGGGTTAACCGAGAAAACTAATTAAAAATAATAAGTGGCCGAGCTGTCAGGTCGACTGGTTATTTACAAGCTTCGCAAGTTTTTCCACTCATAAAATGAGATTTGTGAGACGCTGCCTCAAAGGTTTTATTGCCGGTTCTCCAACGATAGAGATGAATGACTGTCTCCTGAAGACAGAGTGAAGTTTTGAGCCTCTGTCTTTGGTCCAGTGCTGTTTTATTTGGCTGTATTTTGCAGGATGGGTAGAAATAAAGTGGAGGTGGCAGTGTTTTCTCTGAGCCGGCTTCCTGCTGGACCGTCAGTATGAAACACATTCCCTGGCTGACAGCCGAGGACCCGGAGCTCAGACCAACGCTCTGTCTCCACAGAAACCTATCTGAAGGTTATTCACTTCACAGGGCTGGAAATGCAATGAGCCGCGGAAACATTCAACTCTTGCTGAGTGAGAGTGACTGAGAACAGACGTCCTGAAGGAAATGTGGTGGAGAACATTCGAGAGGCCCGTCAATATGATGCGTGAAGCTTCGATGACAATAATCAAGCGGCTGGAATGAGATTTACTTTCAGGTGTAAAACAGGAAGAACCCGTGAACTGAACTAAGAAGTTAAGCTTTTCGTTTGGTTTTGCTAACGAGAACTCACGATGTGGTTCAGTCTTTGTCGTTGCTTCTCGTCTCGAAACTTGAGATTCAGTTTCCCAGCTTTGGACCCTTTCACTGTGTTTGTCTTGATCCGTTAATTGGTCCACTCCCTCTCCCCCTGCCAGTGACCTCCTGCCTATTTGGTGAGAAGCCTAGTTTTCTGCCTTCTCCTCTCACACTCACACACAATGCAGCGAAGAGGAATCGCAGCAGCACACACAGTCGTCACACTTTCAGGCTCCAGGTCACGTTTGAGTTGGTTGGAGATCAGATAAAAGATCTTTGATGAGTTGTTAACATCCTTTGTGATATTTAAAATACACCGGACAGTAAACTCAGCGACCGTCTCATCACCGTTCATCATAGATCTGTGAGGATTCCGCCTCCTCCAGGACTTCCTGTTGTCCGGTCACGATCATATGGAGGAAAATCAAGTCTTGTGGCGCCTTCACGGTCGCGCGGCCGTTGCTTTAAATCAATAAGTAAAACTTCCTCTGTTGTGTGTTTTCAGGGTGCGGAGGCCATGGTGCTCGAGAGCGTGATGTTTGCGATCTTGGCCGAGAGGGAGCTGGGCCCGAAGCTCTACGGGATTTTCCCTCAGGGCCGACTGGAGCAGTACATCCCAGTAAGCCGCCATTTTGTTGTTGAAACATATTAGGAACGCTGTCTCTATTCCAGTTCTGAAATTACTTCAACCAACTTCTCCTGTTTTTGTTGAGACGTGTTGATTCAGTCCTGCAAAGTAATTCTTTAGTTTTTTTKTATTGAAGCAAAAAAAAAAAAAAAAAAAGTGTATTTAAATATTTAAAATAAAAATATCCCGTTGGCAGAGTCGTAAACTGGACACGTGTGAGTTAAGCGACCCCGGCATCTCAGCGGAGGTTGCGGAGAAGATGTCCAGGTTTCACGGGATGAGGATGCCCTTCAACAAGGAACCCAAGTGGCTGTTTGGAACCATGGACAAGTGAGGTTTTAGGTTTCTGTCTCAGTCAGTAGCTTGAAGATGACGTGTTCCCCCAACTTATCATCAGGTGTCAGGAGGCTCTGGGTTTTCGCTTTACGTTGTGCAATCGTTACCGGTTTGTGGTGTTTTTCCGCCCTCACCTTTTCTCTGATTGTGCAGCGCAAACATTGCTCGTTCATCCATGACTCGAAACTTCTTTGTCATTAAAAATAAATATGGATTGAGTCATCAAGAATGTAAAATGTGTTTATCGATATTTTATGTGGAATTTTACTGGAAGAGGCTCTGCACCAGTTATGATCCTGATTAGTGCATGAGACTGTTCTTCATCAGACAGGAAACAAACATATGTCAAAGTAATGTCTTTGTGTGTGTGATTATTTTTTATCACCAGGTACCTGAACCAAGTCATGAGGTTGAATTTCACCAGAGAGTCACATCTGCGCCGCTTCAACCGCCTGCTCAGCTACAACCTGCCACAGGAAATGGATCTGCTCAAGTATGTTCCTTCACACATGCACACACACACATGTACAGTGAACACACGACTTCGACACGTGTGTGTTGTGCAACAGAAAGTACAGACGGTGTATTTACCTCAGAAAAAAACCTCAGATTAGCCAACAAGTTAGAAAACAGGCACTCCCACCAAACATGTGTAGACCTGCTCATGTTTTAAGGCAAGAGGGAAACTGTCCATCTCTCCATCCATCAGTCTGTTCATCCATCAGTCTGTTCATCCATCAGTCTGTTCATCCATCCATCAGTCTGTTCATTCATCCATCAATATCAATAAAATATGAATCCGACAGATAAAGACTAACTTCAGTGACTTCTGCTCAAAGACTATTTTAAATAGTTTAACAGCGAAGTGAAGCAGATTTAAAACTTGTTTGTTTAATGTTGTGGATTCATATTTACCGATCGGAGCGTTCAGGAAACTGTATTCAAACATTCATTACACTGCTAATTGATTTCTCCCCTTCACGTTCAGGTCTCTGCTGGACTCCACCCACTCTCCTGTGGTGTTCTGCCACAACGACTGTCAGGAAGGTGAGACATGCAGACCAGCTCCTTCTTCTTCGACTCTCTACATTTCCTTCTCTCTTCTGTAAGATGACCGGGTGAACAGATGAATTATTGGTGTTGGTTCTGCTTTCAGGGAACATCCTGCTGCTGAAGAAGCACCAGAACTCAGACCAACAGAAGCTGATGCTCATTGACTTTGAGTACAGCAGCTACAACTACAGGTGCGTTTGAAACCTCTGTAAAACAAACTTCAAGTGTGACGTGGCTCGGGGGGCGAGCGGGTTGTCTCGACCAGATTCCATCCCATTCCTCCGCATTCCCCCTGCCGAAGTGTGCTCGGGCGAGATACTTGCAAAGTCTTGTGATATATTTAAATTGGGGGGGTGTAACACATGAATGACGCAGTAGAAGTATGTGGGCGGTGACGGTTACTTCAACCGTCGCATCTATTAGTATTTAAATGAGATGATATCAAACCATCATGACAAAGAAATGTAATCAAGGTTTAATCTTTTACAGTTTAACCATAAACCTCATTGTAGATAACTGTGAATAAAAAGAAAACACAAACACAACCAAATATGTTAAACTTGAACTGAGAAAATAAAGATTTGTGTTGTTTATTTTGTAAAATAAAAGTTTTCATATAGACGATATGTCTGTAAAAATGTTTCACAGATTAGAACGACATATCGTGTTTGTTTATATTTTACATTTGAGCATAAATTGATAAAATCACGTCTTTATTAATTAACTCATAAGATTTTCTTTTGTTAGTTTTTTTCTGCTTTGTCACCGTCTCCCCTCGTCTTGCCAGTTCTTTTTTTCCTCGACTCCCCTGGTCTGTGTGCAACAAAGAGGGGAGGGAGGAGGGTGAGGGAGGAGGGTGAGGATGGAGGGAGGGAGGCTGATAGTGAGATGGAATGTGAAGGAGAGAGAGACAGAGGGGGAAAGGAAGGGAGGGAGGGAGCAGGGGGGGGTGTCAGGCAACAGAAACAGAGATATTCCACCAAAGAGAAAAAGCCCAAAAATTCACTGGGAATAGAAACGAGAGCAGAAAAGACTGAAGTCTGGTTCGTGTCTGTGCTCCTTCAACGTTTCCTCCCGGCCGCCAGGATCCGAGGGCGCCTCCCTCTGCTGAAATATTCACTGCAGCTGTTATGTAACCAGAGTGATGCGGCGCGATACACGGGATGGAGGGAATGGAAAGACTGTAACTGGGCCTGTGGTTCTTAGGAATGGACGTGAAGCCGTGGATTTACAGTCAGACACAAAGTCGACCCTCAGTAGAACGTTATTCTACATTTAAAGTCTGTCCTCGAAGGAGCAGACACCTCGGGTTCCTTTGTGAATTCTTGAGTGGCTCTTTTCTGAGAAGCTGCTGAAATCGTGCTGACTCTCCTCGGCTCACAGCGGAGTCGCTCTCCCCCACACACAGGAACAGAAGCACTCCTCCCTCCCCCCACAGCCACCCTACGGCACGGCCCCTTTAAGTCTCCTCATATGCTGCAGAGCCAACATGTGACCCTCTGCACATGCATATCAAACATGTGAACACGTGTGCAAACATGCACAGCGTGTGCAGGAGGAACACACCCACAAATGGACATGTACACACACACACATTTCCCCCCCTCTCCAGGTTATAGACTCCCCCATAGTCCGAGCTGAGCACTGGGAAGTGTTGTGTTGGAAAATGTTTTCCCAGCTGCTGATAGCAGTGTGGGAATCCAGCGTAGACTCTACACACTCCCCCCGGGGTTGAAGCCAACAGGCCGGCTGCAGTATAGGTCATAAACCCCACCTCCTCCATGTTAGTGGATGGGACACAGACTAAACTACAACGTCAAAGTACATTGCAGATTTCCGACCTGTTTGGTTTTAATTGGTTATTTGACGCTGTAACGAGGTGAAACGTCTTGATTGACACCTGAGACTGACTCGTGATTGGTCGAGCGCATTTATTTCGAATAGAAATTCAACATAGTATAAAGCCATTATTTTTATTTTCTTAGTTACAATATCTTTCTATTGTGAAATTAATAATGTTTGATATGTTATTTGAGAAATAGTTTTTTATTGTTATTGGTCCCTGGTTGATTTCCATTGATTAATAGTTTAATCAGACCTAATTTTCTTCATATCTGAACCTTGTGTTGAATAAAGTCTCAGACATTTTCCTCACTTGAGGGACATTGGGTGGAGAAAGGATGAACCAGTATCGGTTGTGTGTGTTTACATTTGTTTAAGCCTGAACACAAGGGGCTTCAGTGCAGCAGACCAGACAACAAGCAGCTCCAGGTCCGGTTTAGAGAAGAAGCGAGTGAACGTACCTGAAAAACAAGGTCTCGTGTTATGTTGAGCGAACAAGGTCAAGAGAGGCAGGGCCAGTTTTCACAGAAACTGTCAGAACGTAATAGTTTCTAAAACAAACACACTAAAGCTAACATGACATCAGGTTTCACTGAACGATTATTGTAACTGAAACAACTCGAGGTAACTATATGATCATGGTATGTACATAGAAAGTTTTAATTGTAATAATAATAAAAAACAGTTTAATCTTTAATGTTATTTAGTTTTTTAGAAGTAAATTTGCACAAAATACTGCAAAATAATACGAAACACAACAAAGTACTGATACACATTAAGTTTTTTAAGAGGATTTCTTTAATAATCAGAGCATCACAGATGGAACAATTGTCCTATTAATGTATTGAATTATTATTATTATCCATAAAAGCAACTCTCGTTTTATAATTCCAAACAAATAGAAAGTTTCATCATCATCATCATCATCATCATCATCAGTCACGGTCTCTAACTGATTCCACGTCTGTTGACCTTGCAGGGGATTTGATATCGGCAACCATTTCTGTGAGTGGATGTACGACTACACCTGTGACGAGTTTCCTTACTTCAGAGTCAACGCTCAGGCCTACCCCTCCAAGGCCCAGCAGGTGTGTGCGACACGTTAACACACACACGCAGCCTCTGTATGGGTTTTACTGGTGCGTTGCTAACTGGTGTCGTGTCTCTGTGTAGCTGCACTTCATTGAAAACTACCTGCGTGAGTCTGACAGCGGCTTCGAGCAGCTGAGCGAAGACGAGCAGACGAAGCTGAAGGAGGAGCTGTACGTGGAGGTGAACAGGTGAGCTCACACACGTGACACCGAGTCAGCTGACGGGATAAAGTTCAAGCTACAACTCAATAATCAAAACAACGCGTGTTTCTGGATTTCAGGTTCTCTCTGGCATCCCACTTCTTTTGGGGCTTGTGGTCCATCATCCAGGCCCGACTCTCCACCATCAAGTTCGGATACCTGGTGAGTTTTCACACGTGAATAAGACGTAGGCGGTCGAGTCCTGCAGAATGTTGCAGTGTCAATATTTTACCGTGGTGAGAACATGTCAGAGGTCACGCTGCCGTGTCAGTCTGACAGGATACCAGACAAACACAGACACAGCGAGGTTGTCTCTGTCACACGCAGCATATTTACACTCTGATGCACCTTTCACAAAGTAGTTTCACTTCACCACCTCACTGCAACACAGAAAAATACAACAAGTATATATACGGTACATCCAGCTTCATTATGTTGTAGATTTCATCTCAGTTGGAATAAACTGCTATTCTTTAGAATCGTTTCTTTGCAAATGTGAATTAATAAATAAAATCAAATCTCCTACAAAAGTAGAAACTCTCCTGTGGCAGTCCAAACGTCACCCGTGTTTAAAACAGCAGCGGAGTAACGGAGCTTGACAGAAGTAAAGATCACATTCGTTTTCTGAATAGAGATTTTGGAGATCAACCATAATATTTTAACCATCCAAGGTAGATGTACCACAAGATTGTGACACGGTGTTATTTGCTGTACTTCCAGAAGCAGTAGCAGGCTCTGTAGTACAGCACAGTAGTTACAGTTCAGTGGATGTTGTCTTATGGAGAATATGTGGTAGCATGTGGTTAGATGTTGGTGGTCCCAGGTCCAGGGTGACGGGCTGTGACTCCCCCATCTGTGTTGTGAATGCTAGAGGTCAGGGACGCCTGGAGGGGGTTTCATTACACCTGGCACACAGGACAGAATTTGGTGTTTGAGTTCACTACACTAGTAGTAGTGGTAGTAGTAGTAGAAGTACACTTAGTTTAATAACTAATAGATCTTGCTAAATTGCTGTTATAGAGTTAACGAGAGTTACGATACGAATAAATAAATAAATTCAAAACACTTTGGAGAAGGAGTTTTTGTTTCATTTCATTTTATAGATATTGCCCATTATAAGATTTCTGGATTTTCTGCCTCTTCAGCTTGTTGTTATTGTTGTTGTGTGTTTGACATTAACGCACTCCACCATTGAGAAATCCAGGACCATCTATATTTACTTCAGCATATATATATATATATATATATATATATATATATTAATGTGTACTGTGTACTATTGTGTGTGTTGCAGGAATACGCCCAGGCCAGATTTGACGCCTACTTCCAACAGAAGAAGATCTGGGCTGTCTAACGAGCTGACGGGATGTGTTGACGTTCAGCCACATGGCAGCAGGAGGACGAACAGCCTGACAAAGATTCCACCATCCACACTTTACTCAACGCTCTCGGCCGAGAGGGGATTTGCTGATAGTGCTGGTGTCGTGCTTATCAAAGCCCAACCTTGATCGCGTGGCTCTGATGCTTAAAGTACGTCCCAACAATCCACCGCAGCTCAGTAAAAACTCCCCGAGAGCCAAAACACAAAAAAGAAAAAGAGAAATCTTGACTCGTACTAACTCGCCGGTCAGAGCTGCTCTCTGCTTCTGCCTCGTTCCGAACACGTCACTAACACAAGGGAGGTGAGAAACAAGGTGGATTTAGGTTCCTGCCTGTTACTGAGGCCCGCGGTGGACTGGTTGTCTGGTGGGATCTCTTCTCCCTCGACAGTCATGTCTTCACTTCTGTATTTCACGCACTCAAACAGCTTGTTTGAGTTCCTTCTCGTTCAAACGGTTGTTTTGGGGGATTTTCTTCAGGCTGGAGCTAAGTTTTCGTCGCAGCCGCTCGAACTCCACCAAATCATAATCAAAGACGTGAAACTTCAGCCGTCCCCATTTCCATTAGGTGTAATTCTGCGTGGCTTCCTCACTAGTACTGTTACACTGATCGACTGTGACTCTCCTCCACCTGTTGTACTCGTACTAACAGGTATCGTGTTGTAATGGGTCGCTGTGACAGGTAGATCACTCATCTGTGAATATCGTACGCTGGGTTTTACTACATGTTCAGCCAAATGGCTACAAGACATTCCAGTCAGCCATGCTTTATGAGCCGAGCACATTTGTTTTTTTTACTTTTACTTTTATAAATTGGAACTGCATTGAAGAAAACGTCACGCAGTTCACATGACAGTGGTTCACTCATTGTGGTTTCTATGGTGATGTCGTGGGAAAACGCTCACGTGACAAATCGCACCCAAAAACGACATTTCACGTTGTCAAAACTCGAAAAACTGGAGACGTGAGAGTGAAACCTGATTATTTCGTCCTGCTGCTTCTCATCCAAACACCCTGAGAGCCGCTCAACCCTACCTCACCCCATCGAGTCGTCACACGGCGAGTACGAGTTCCACCATCGGCTGCCAACGCAGACTTCACCTCGATTGAGACTTTGAACAGTTGAAATTGAGTTTGTCTGTATTGGCACTTCGCACATTCGGTGAATTTAACAGCATTCCTCTTTTCTCAGTGACCACGATTTAGCCTCTGGGCTCGTCACTTCAGTGGCAGCGCCCCCTGTTGGACCTGATAAGAAGTGTGTTGAATGACTAAACGTTTTTCTCATGACAGAAATCGGTTTTCTTCACGTTTCCCAAATTGTTAACCGATGACGAACCATCACCGTAGGGCCGTGTCTGAAAATTTCTCCTTGTTTACGATAGAGTGCTGTACACTACTTTTACACTAGCAATCCCACAATGCAATTCTCTGCATTATCACAGATGCTAAAATTTCTGTTTATCTCTACACCTGTCGGTAGAAATTCAAAATAACAGCAAGACAAAAATTTTACGCAATCCAGCTGTCGGAATCTTCGACAGCTTGATATTATGTAAACTGTTGATAAACACAAATATAGGAAGTGATTTCGAACACAGCAAAACATTTTAACTTTCCCCTCCCGTCTCATGCACTTGTAGCCTGTCGAGCTTTCAAACAGCACATGTATCGCACGAAGAAAATCTGATCCTCCAAATTCTTATTATTTTTCCAAAACAATCGTCCCTTGATTTCAGACAAAATCTCAGTTCTTGCCCGCAACCATTGATTCTTCCAACAGTAACAACAAATATCACCGGTTGGTTTTATTAGCGGAGGCCAGCAAGCTAATTAATCGAAAGCTCGCTCTACCAGCACCTGATTTGTTAACAGCTCTAATTCAAGAAGGAGCTTTAAATATGCACTTGATTGAAACATACGTGATAGAAAGCAATCCTGTAATTTTGACAGGAGATGGGTCACGTCCCCTCGCAATAAAGAAAACAAAATAAAACGGAAAAGTGCCGCACACCTTCCAGAGCATTGCTAACTTTGTGGATTTAGTCTTAAAAAGACCAAACCAACAAAGTTCTCTAAACTCTCTAAATGTCTTGCTGTTACCAGAACCACGTAAAAAAAACGAGACGGATCCAAAGTTTTAGCGGCCACGCCTAGCTACAGCTGCAAAGCTATGTTCGGACAATCTGTTTAGGATCGGGGGTTCAGCTGAAGGCGACCCAAAGTCGTAATCTTCAAATCAGATTATTTCCCAAATACCTGCTCAGAAAATGGGTTTTAAGAAAATCATGTTAAAATGTCGTAGGAGGATAAACGGAAAAAATAATGCATCTGACAAACTGTGCTGCTACATGTGAAAACTGTTCTACTGCCGCAGAGGCTGCACGTCCATGTTCATTCCAGTGGAGCTGTAGCAGATTCACACACGTTCCCAGTTTGCCCGTGGGATTGAGGGAACTGAGCCGGGTCATGACACTAAAATGATCACGTCACCAATCATCTACTGGAAAAACCCAGAATGTTTGAATGTCTACTGTGGCACTTTCAATCTGAGGACGACAAAATGTAAAAAAAAAAAATATATATATGTATAAACTAATACTGTACTTGAGTATTTTCATGTTTAAACATCTTGGGGTTGTTGAACTGTGACTTTTAATTTGATGAGATGTTATTTTACATACAAATGTGTTTTATTGTATATTCATCTTTATATTTCTTTTGGAATGTGGTTAATGTATATTTTCATCGTTATCTTTAATTCAAATTGTTGTTGGTACGTCTGTACTGAAGCAATAGTCTTTACTTTAATATATTCAGTGGCTGTTTCTTTACTAAACCCTGAATTTGTATTTTTTCTTATTCAGAAGTTTATTTTGAAATGAAAAGTATTTGCCCTGAACTTTATGCTAGAGACAGTTTCCATCTGAATATTGATCACCAGGATTTGAAGTTATTATACCTTCCATACTTTGCTTGCACTTAGGACCAAACAACTAAAATATTCATCGAATTGGTTTTGATGAGATTTTTAGTCGAGAGCAAACGTGTTTAAATTGGTTTGAACTTGTGTTTAGGATTCACCAAGAATAAAATTAGGGTAAAAATATTAACCAAATATTAAGAAACACAAACTTGCACCATATCTGTCTTCAGAATGTACATTGTTCTAATGTAATTAACTTGTTTTTTGTTAAAACACATTTGCTCTGTGTCGGTAGCCTTAATTACATCATCACAGGACTCACAGTGAAAACCTTTGCGATCTATGCAGCTGTACTGAATGCATACTGTACAAAAACATTGAATGTGTTTCAGGTTAATCACATAGAAATGATCTCGGCTGTAAATTTTACTTTCTTGCTTTGCACAAATAAAAACTGAAGAAGAAAGAAAATGACTGATCAAAGTTTTTCAAAGTACAAATATCTGGATTTCTGCATTCGGCCATTTGCTTCTTTGGGATCACAAGACTATTACTATTATTTATCTCATCAAGATATGTGAAAATATCCCAGAATGTCTTATCGTAGTTAAAGGAAGAAGAAACAAGTCTTGGATTTATACCAACATTTATTCAGCTCTAACTGGCCCATGTTTTGTTTTGTGTAAATCTGTTTTATGTTTTTTTTTTTAACAAAAATTAAATCCATCGAATAACTAAACCAAAAATACCAGAGTGTGATAAGAACTTACTCGAATAATAGAAACCATGTTTGAGAAACGTGTGTTTTGTATTTTGAGTTTTCCGTTAGATCTAACTACAAGAGAGACAAAGTTTCTTAAAAAGTTTCAGAGCAGTCAGTATGTTTTCTGTGCTCTCTCTCTGTTCGTGTCTCGAAACGTGGATCCTGTTTCAATGCAGCAGTTTGAGTTCAGGGCGTCGATGCAGATTCACTGAGGTTGAACTCTCATTGAGGTGATGGACACTGAGAGGATTGACTGCTGCAGTGAGCGCAGCACTGAGTCAGACTTGGCCTGTTGAAGTGAAGCTGCAGCCAACTGCTCCATCTGTAACCCCCCCCCCCCACACACACACACACACACACACAGAACCCTATGGCCGTCGTCTCTCTGATCCGAACACAGTGACAACATCTCCTCAGCCGACCTGTCACTCTGCACAAGCTCAGCAGCTCCTGCTCAGTAGGTGAAGTCATTTCCGAAATGGTTTTCTAAGATTAAAACAATAAACACGTCAGTGACACTCACAGTCCTGCTCCGTCAAGACACTTTCTAGATGATTAGAAAATAACTTTCACCCCAGAAAACCGGATGTTTGTCTCTGCAGTCAGTGGGGTCAGGGATCAGCGGAGGATGATTCAACAAAGAGGGGAACAGTAACGTTCACATGTCTGGGTCATATCACAGTGGGTTTCTATATCTATAACTATATCGTAGAGCCAAGATGTTAGAGTGTCCACATGGGAAATATCAGAAGCCCTGATGCACACCATGTTACACTGAATTAAAGTGAAAAGGTTCATTAGCTCCTCAGTCTGATATATGGCAGCTTGGTGAGAGTCTGGAATCAGGAACATTTGGAGAATCTATGAGTGGGTGTAATTTTGTGCAGCTTGATAGAATTTAAAGGGACTGTTGGGCCTCGGTGGAGCTTTAATCTACTGGATGCCATGTTGAATATCTGACAGAACAACTTTACATAGTATTCTAGACCTTTAAGTACAGAAAGACCCAGTGATTCAACTCAATTAACAGTTTTTTGGTTTTAAACCCACGTTCGTCAAATTTTGACGTCAACATTTCAATTCTGTTTTGCTCCAAATCATGAAACCGTAGAAATGATGTAATATACGACAAAGGAGAGGAAAAAAAACTGGGCGGACATCTGCCCCAACCTGTTGGGTGAGGGGAGAAGAATGAGGAAGAGAGGACAGGTGAGTGGACAAGAGGGAGAGAGAAGACAGAGAGAGAAGAGAGGGAGGAGAGAGACCAGGAAGTAACCGTCATGTTTCGGCTCTGACAGACTGGTCGTTATAATGAGAATCATTAGAGTCAAATTTATAAATGTATTTTAAAAATCAATTCGAAAAAAATGAATAGGTGTTGATATTGTTGTGACCACAAACAAGTGAGTGAGACAGATGTTGACCCTCAGGTCTGAGCAGGGTCTCGGTGTTTATGGTCGTTTGGGACGGAGAGGAATGTAGAGTCACAACGAGCAGAGACCGGGGGGGAGGGACAGAGGTCACTGCCTTGAAAGCAGGAATTCATGCACTTCTTTCACTCTTTCTTTCCCTCTTTCTTTCTTTCCCTCTTTCTTTCCTTCTTTCTTTCTTTCTGTCTGACTTCCCTTCTGTCCTGCAGGAGGTTGTGTTTCACCGCTGTTTGTCTGTCACTCTGCAGGATTAAACGAGAACCGCTGAACTGAAGGGTGGGGCCCTGAGCTAAGAAAGAACCCATCAGAATGATATCTCGGAGAAATCTGCTGCAGCTTGATTGAATTCCTGAGACTTCTTGACAGAAGTGTTGAAATGTTTAAACACAAACTTAAAACCTTTTAGACTTTGATATATTTTAAACCTGTATTTCTTCTTGTGTGTACTTTTTGAAGTAGGCGGAGGTAAAAAAAAAATAAAAGCAGCACTGGAACACATGAACATTTGAACCGCATTACTTTACAACACTAATCTGATCAAAGCGTGATCGTGCTGTGAAGCTGTTGTGAATCTCCAGGATTTGACTGTGACTTCTCACCTGACACCTGTGTGACAGAGACACGCCGGTTAAAAAAGGCGAAGGCCTGAGACTCTGACTTTTGCTCTAAATTATGAAATTGAATCTCAAATGTGAATCGGCTGCACAAGGAGCTTGTTAGACTCTGGCGTCACCTTGTGGACGCAGCGATGGCTCTGGTGTGTTCGAGTTGTTGAAAATAAAAGTGCACAGAGTTTTCCAATGAGGACACATTTTACAGACATGTTTAAAAGTTTGAAACATTAATGGGACTTAAGGTAGAAACTGGAAAATAGCAGATACTGGATATTTAGCCTGTTTCCGTTTCTGTGTGTGATTAATAGTCATAAAAGGTTTTATTAATATATTGGTTTTAATAATCTGATCTCCCCAGAATCTCAGAGCGGGTTTGTTAAACATCCACTTGTACGGCAGCTTAAAGAAACAACACAAAACATATTCTTACTTTAAATCAGACTTTAATGAAACTGCTCAGCTCAAAGTAAAAACTGTACAAGAGTAATATTACACACTGATAATAATAACTTTATTTATACAGCACCTTAGAAAACTACAGTTACAAAGTGATTCACAAAAAGGACAAATAGAAACAAGACGTTTAAACATCAAATAAAATAAATGAGTAAATTGTAAAGAATAGAAACATTCACAGTGAACAGGACATTTTCTCCAAAGTCTTCAGTCCTGGTCCAGTGACTCTGCAAAATGTGCTGCAGAGTCACTGGAGCGTCTTCTTGAGGAATTCAACCAGGAGGTGATGAGGGAAACCAAAGTCCATCTGAATCACCACAAAGCCCTGCAGCACAAAGACAAGCAACGCGTCTGTGGATACACGACCGAGGAACGAGACGAAGCAAGGGGAGAAAGAGACAAACTCACGTCCCGAGGAAGAACTTCAGGGTCAAAGATGTCGAATGAGTTGGTCCCCTGTTTGTCCAACAGTCTGGTTACTTCAATCTCAAGAACTGGAAAACACATTCAAAAGAAAATGACACAAATATTACTTCTGTTTTCACAACAAGAATGAAATGAACCTGAATGCAACACGTAGTAATGTCAACGTGCTACGTTTGTCCGTCTCTCACCAGACAATACTTTGGGGATTCCAATCTTCTCCACAGCTTCTCTGATGAACTCCAGTTCATCTCCCAGCTTGGAACAGACGAGAGGTGAAGGAACAAGTCAAATAAACATTTACACTTGTTTCTGTCTTTTCACAATCAGCGACATTTCAGTGAGGATATTTAAGAATAATTTACATGGGAGAGGAAAAATTACTTTTCGGCGTTTTCTTGCAAAACCTTTGTTTTGTTGCTGATATCAGGAAATAAATCACTAAACTTTTTCAGGAACTAAATTCTCTGTAGCGTCACATGGTTGTTGTGCAGTTGGAATTTAACTTCACGTTGTTGTTGTCGTCTCAAAGAGACATTTAAAAAATCCTCCAGTGAAGTACAGATAAACTTTCTATAGTAAGAATCAGATGAATAAAAAAGTCTTACTGGTTGATTTAGTGACGGCAGATCAGCTCGGATTACAAAGATCCTAGACAGGAAGGAGAATCAAGAATAACCATCATGCATCTGGTATATCAGTAAATAATAGAAAACTACATTTCCAGTGATGCAGAAACCAGTGACACATTGTTGTGCAGAAATCTCCATGAGAGGTCTTACTCTGAAGGTTTCCCCTGCAGGAGCAGTTTCTTGTCAGCGTAGGAAGCTGAAACGTCTACGACCACATTCTACACAGGAAACAACCAAGAAACACTCAAACACTGCACAGACACGTGGGAAGTTATTTTCCGTGCAGGCGGCCGCTGGATGATGTTATTACTTTATTACAAAGTTTACTCTCAGGTAGTTATATGTCAAGTATGAGCGACTCTTCGGTCTTTCTACGTCTCCTGTACGTTCCACCTGAGTCGCTGCAGCACAGACGACAGGAGGAGTTTGTCTGAGGGGAAATGTTTTTAACGTACAACAGATAATTTACCGTTTGAAAGAAGAGCGTTGGTGTTTGACTCCCACAGCTGAGCGTCCCAGAGGCCTCCGCCCACACCGTCGTACCCAGGGTGGAGGTGTTGAGGAAGGGAACCGAGGAACTCCACACTCTGAGCTCCGGAGATCCTGATTCCAACAAACACTGAACACACGGAAACTTTTTCTCTCACCTGACAAAAGTGTTAACGTGTGTGAAGTTACTGGGACGACAGAGTTTTCGTACCTTTCGAAAAGATTCAGGCGTCGCACTGGAGAGATTTGTCCTGAACAGTTCCTGAAATCACAATCATCATATGATGTCAGACCGAACAGAAGATTCATCAAGAATAATGCAGTCGTTAGCTGTTCGGCCATGTCGCTGCTCTCACAGTGAGCTCTGCTCCGGAGATGTTGAGTTGGAAGCGTCCGTCGTCGTGGGCAGCGGTGAGCATGGGGTTAAAGACCTGGTCTGAGGTTAAAACACAATATCATGACATTTGGAGAAAGAATTTCAGGTACAACACACGTCTAAACCACAATTTAAACACTATGAAGAAGAACCTGAAGACCAACATCAACTCTGGGAAACCTGGACGAGGATTCATCGACATCGATTTCTAAAGATCAGCTTCTCAAATACTTTATGTCACGAACAAAATGTTACTTCACCAGTTTGGTATTTTAGTGCATTTGATTCTAAGGAGGTTTAATGACTCACAGGAGTTAGAATTCATTGTAATATCTCGAATAGAAGTATTTGAACCTGTACAACACAGATTGGGTTCTTTAATTAACCTTTTTTCGTACCATGCAACTGCAACTTTAAAAAGCTAATCTGACCTGAGACCCAGAAATAAAGCATCCTGTGTTCGGTCAGCTGACTCGGGTGGAAAACGGAGTCACTGATGACAGCAGCGGTGTTGTTGTAGTTGGTCGATCCCTGGAAGGTTTAAAAAACACGAGTGATCACTACACACGCAGATACAGAGGTTAGATATGATTGTGTTTTACTGACCTTGTGGTATGACTCGATGTAGTTTGCAGTGATGACAGGAGCAGCAGTCACACCAATGTCAACACGGATGTTTCCATCACTGAGGAACTGCTCTGGAGACACACACATGCACAGACACATGTTTTCTACGTCTGTTTGTTGATGCGATGCATTAAACCGGCGAAGTGAAGCCACTGTGGAAAATCCTGAAACCTGTATACTCTTGAACGTCCAGCAGAGGGCGACTCCACTGGTTGTTAGAAGTTTATGATTTATAACGTCAGTAAACATTTTCTCAGGAGTCAATGTATCAATCTCTGGTTTCTAGTCTTCTTCCATTCAGCATTTTGCACATTACGGTCCATTCAGAGAACAAATACCAAACTGGAGGCTTCACTCTGCCAACAGGTTACGTCTCGGCGATTTGACACGCGTGTAAAACTCGTCCTCGCGATGATCTCCTGAGTACGAGTGCACTCACCTGCTGTGTTCTGTATGAAGTCGGCCAGAATATTCGCCACCTTGTTGATCTCCTTGCAAATCTGCAGTTGAGAAGAGACTGGTTATTTTTGCTGTGTCATCGTGATGTAGATGAAGACGCAGACGGTCCTCACCTGTCCCTTGATGACCATCTTCACGGTGAAGGTGATGAAGTCAGTGAAGAGCCTCTTCAGCCAGTTCGGTCTGAACAACAACACATTCACATCATCACACAGCGAAACACGGAGAATCCAGCAGGTCTCATTCATGTGTGACTTACTGTCTGTCGCCCTGCAGATGAAGACGGAGCTTGTGAAAGTTCAGGTAACAGTCGGACGTGTCGGCTGCCACCTTCCCTTCACCACAGTCTGACAGAGACAAGAGGAGAAGCACATGACGACATGAAACACATCTGTCAATCTGTCAATAATACTCACAACTTCCTACTTCCCATCAAGTATTTTTATACTCTCAATCCATTATTGCACTACTCTCATTCCGTGCCTTATGACGGCATACTATCTTGTACTGTGTACTATGTTTTGAGTACTTATTATATGTTACTTAAATGTTTATACTTTATTCTGATCAGAGAGAAACAGGGTTTCAATCCCGTCTATGTCCTGAACATGTGGCAGAATTAACAATAAAGTTGAATTTGTGTCACCTCCACTTCCTGGCTAACATGGAGGAGGCAGGACGTATGACTCACCGTTCACCAGGAGATGAAGTTTAGCTGATGTTTCTATCATTGACTCAATGTGCACATAATAAATGAGTTAAAGGTGCAGTGTGTGAGAATTTAGTGACAACTAGTGGTGAAGTTGCATGTTGCAGCTGAACACCCCTCCTCTTCCAAACATGAGGGAGAAACTGTGGAAACCTTCAGTTGTCATAAAAACTCAAAAGGTTTAGTTTGTCCAGTCTGGTCTACTGTAAAAAACATGGCGTCCTCCGTAGAGAGGCCCCCCCTCCATGTAAACCTAAAGAGTTTAAATCTAAAGTATTTAAATTTAAAGTATTTCACCATAAAGGGCTCATTCTGGTGTAAAGAAAACATGTCGTACAATTTAGATGAAACAAACTCATGAAAACTTCACTTGGATTATTTTATATTCACTTGCTGCTCACAGACCCATTTTCTCCTGGATCTGAAACGCTGGCCCTTTAAATACTTACATAGTCTGGGGTTGATTCCGAGATCAATCTGAGACTCAATCTCGAAGTCGACTGAATGTGCAACGTTGACACTGGAGGAAAGAGAAGAAGAAACCATCCATCATGGATGTGTTGCTTGTGTTGTATGTGTGTTTAATAAGTGTTGTGTGTTTCTCGATCACCAGTGAATGTTGTGTTATCTCTCGCTCTGACTCACAGCCAGCTGCCGTATCCGTACTGGATTGTCCCTCTGAAGGTCGCGGACACGTTGCTTATTTCCATGGCGACGCCTTCACCTGGACGCAGCTCAAACGCACTTTGACCGATCGTCAGGTTGTGGATCTCCAAACTGGCAAACGTGACATCATTGAATGTTGCGTGTCCATCTGTGCACGTGTGTGCACATGAGTGTTTGTGTCTCACTCACTTGTCCAGGCCGTATTTGACGTTGCCAATGAAGAGCAGGGATTTCTCTCCCTTCACACTCGGGTATCTGGCGTGTTGGAACGCAGCCTCGATCACCTTCGTGGTTTTCTCATTCACTGTCCACACACACACACACACACACACACACA